TTTTTAATTATTATGTCATATTAGTAGTGTATCATCAACATCACCATGCATGCATGGTGAGCTTCATCTCTGATCACACTCAAACAGAGCTGCACAGGTGTCGCAAGTCCCATCGAGGCCGGTGCAGGCGTCGTGGGGTGAAGATGGGCGAAGAGTCGATTGCTTTGGAGATTGAACTACAAAAAGTATGTTTGGATGATTTGGAACTACTCAGCATATTTGGATGTCTAGTTGCTACTACAAGAAAACATGGATGTATTTGGATGCGGCAAAGCCAATTTTGATTTGTTCACATTTCAGAGGACATGAGGCCGTTTGATCGCTTTGAGAACAGAAATCACAGGAACAGCTTGTGTTAGATGGGGCAAACGAGAGAATTCCAGTTGATTCATCGGTCAGGTGCCGTTGAGTTGCTTGTTGGACGCTTGGACTTCGACGTGTTCTGGGGTCCCCTTGCCAGAAATGATAGAGACTGCTTCTTTGACACAAGCAACGACATGTGTCTTAAGGGCCAAGTTGGAGAAACCAAGGCGGTATTCATTTGGACAACGGCCAATCCCTGCTGCCTCCTGTTCTTGTGCACCAATAGATCCACAGGTGTCCGAGCCCATGTCCGTTCTTCACGTGACGCTCACTTTAGGAAGCAAAACTAGCTCCAACTCTCATGGACTACGTAGCAATGGACGGAGCACCCAATGGACGGAGTACCAAATGCACCTACCACCATGTGGCCACCATGTGCCAGGCGTGCAATGCAACGTGACCAGCACCTTGACGGGCTGTTTGGGCAAGGCGCGACGAAAACCGGCGGCTTCGTTCTGAGAACATTCGCACAAGCATGAACGTGGCACAGGCCGTAAGTTCAGCTGAACTAGCAAGGCATTTCCCATATAGAAACCCACCAGGTTTGCAGAATGTTTCCAGTTTGCCACTAGCTGGAAAGCTGAGTGCACGTTTGTGGATTGATATTTATTCTGCCTCCTCCTAGCCTTACTTTCTGATTCCTTTTAGTTCTAATTCAGCATAATTCCTCGGGAGGGAATAGATGAATAGATACCCCACCATTTTCTCTATGGATTATATTATATATAGTTATGCTTTGTGGAAAGTATTCAACACCCCCAACAGGGGCCTGTCTCAGCCACCTGGTTTCCGGCCAGTTGCCCTGCTTGCCTCTACCCCTGGATGCCTGCATGTTGGATGCCTCGAATTGCAGCGATGGTGTGCCCGCCGGGTCCCTCAGGGTTCCGGGAGCCTTCAGGTTTGTGGAGGCCAAAGTGTCAACCATTCAGATCAACACGTCGAATCAGATAGCACCTGGCAGTGTCCATCAACCATGTTGATCTGAATTCTGAATTGCTGCCAAGTTTCCCAAGCAATTCAGATCAACACGATCAAGTAAACTCGCTCCATGCCCCAAGGGCTTTGGAAGGGCTTCATCAGTTGCGAACTCGCTCCCAGATTTTGGGGCGGCCAACTTCTTCATGCCTTTTGAGCCACACCGACTGATATCCCAAAGCCGTCAGATATGCATAGCAAATCATAGCAGCGAAACATGCTGCGTTTGGAGGATGTACAAGAGACGGTTGATGCATAGACCTTGCCGATGCCAAGTCAACACAGAGCTCGAAGGAAATCCGTCGACTTCCAGTCGACTCAGTAGACTATTGTGGGCAGCTCCTGGCATTACTACTAGGAACAAGAAGCCACTAGTAACAAGGGCATCACCACTGGTAGCAAGAAGCTACTAGTGCGTGTGTTTTGTGCCGAAAAGCAAAACTCGTGGCACTGTCGGTCCGGACCCCCTCCGTCACGCGCCATTCCCAGTTTTCGGAGGGCTGCTCCCTCCGGTTGACGGTCAGTGGGTTTCAAGACCAGTCGCCACCCCGAGGCTGGTGGCTCCTGTGAGGTTCTTTGCAAGTATCCTTACACTGGCATTCCTGGAGAGGCGCGAGCAGACGGGCAGAAGAAACCATGTGTTTGGGTGGGAAGAGCTGTCGAGATGTGAATGTAGGGAATGTAGACGGTTGAACACCCATTCTGGTAGGATCTGGCACTTGTAGGGGGTCAAACATGTTTTTTGTTATAACTTGAAGCAGGGAATCCAAGAATGTCTTTCAGGTGGTTGTACCATGTCCCCAGCCTATGTCTTTGCAGTGCCTTGTAGGGCAGCAGTGCAGGAGCTCTTCCCAAGCACTTGCCACTTGCTCAGCTGCTTTACTTTGTTGTTTTGTGCCTCCTTCTACTCATTTGCCTGATCTTGAAGGTTGCATGTATCCTTTGTACATCTTTGTAGATGTTCGATGATTGTTGCACCTGTTTGCAGAAACTTGGGTAGCATGGATTCGATACCGTTTTACCTGTTCAACAGTCCCAGTCTCACACTTTCATTGACCCATAGATCATATATATATATATATACATCCATTAGTGCTCCTGGACGTGTTTCAGTCCCATGTTGTGAAAGATACACCTTATTTAATGCGTCGTAGTGTATCCTAATGTCATCAATGCAATTCATCGCAAAGCCCCTCCCAGCATCTCACAGCTTTCATGTTCACAAAAAAGAGGTATTCTCATTCCGCTCTAAGCTGGATGTAGCTCTACCCGCTACCCCCCCAAGCCAACTACGGAGAACCCATCAATGCACAATTGATTTCCCTGAACATGCTGGCTTTAGGAGCCCAAGCTGAACCAAAGCAACTCTTTGCTCAAAAAACTCCGACCATGCACACGGGTGACCTTAGGCGCAGTGTCCTGAGATCAACACGGGGACCAACACGCTCCCAAGCCTCAAGTCGCCCATGTGTATGGTGGTGCCTTGGTTTCTCAGCGAGGGAAGCGCGGCACGAGGCTTTGCAGCTACTCTTTCTCCCTCTTCAATTAGGGGATCTTAAGGAGATCTTCCAATTTGTTTGAGAGAAATCCCAATTTGTTGCTGCTGCCGCTGCCGCTGGCTGCTGCTCCTCCGGGTTTGCTCTCTGCTCAATTAGTTGATCAGCACAGTGACAGGCATCATCGCAGGCTCAGAATCGGAATGCTTGCACGGGTTCTTGGTGTAAGATTGAGAGTCAAAGGAGCTCAGGCATGGCATCATCCACTTGGTTGATTGAAAGATTAATCCTAAGGTCTGACCTGGCGTGCTTATGCGTGCATCGAACCATCTCCGTTCCAATCTAAATCATTCTACATCTAAGGATGTTTTCAATTGCCAACACCTGCCAGCCTTTATTCACTCTTGTTGACTTCGACCGTTTTGAACAGCAGGCTGGCATATGGACCCGATCCAGTGTTCTTTTTCCCAATACAAAGGGCTTGATATGCGGTTGCCCCACGGGCATGTCCAATTCAGCACTTCTTTGGGGCTTTTTTGACGATCGCGTGCCACAGCAGCGTGCCCCTCGAAAAAAGAACGGCCTGGCTTCCGAGCTTCGTACCGTTCAAGGATTGCTCCCAGCTAGAGATGACGATTCCAACTGGCTACCGGCATCGGGCCAATGACACCGGATGGGAGTGTGACTCGGCCATGTGGATCCAGCCGGTGTGCCGGATTCAAGATGTGAAGCAGGGTGCGATCACGCGTGTAAGGCTGGAAGATCAGATCCAATGGACCTAGTGGAGCCATCTATGTGATTCTGGATGGAACTATGTAGAACCAATGGAACTCTTGATAGAAAAGCAAAGAAACAGGTGTGCCGCCGCTTGGCCGAGTCAAGAGATCCGTGGTGCCTTTTGGCGACACAAAGGAAATATTGTGGTCGAGGTGCATGGTCAAGGATGATTGCCGCAAGGGGGTTCTTTGGAGCATGCCTTTTTTTTGGGGGGGCGAGTACTTCTTGCACAGCCCATCGGCAGGCAAGTGCAGCCCATAGGTGGGCTTTTGCCACCAAATCCCTTAGCACTACCCTCGAAATCTGCACGATCACAGGTGACACCGGCTATTCGGGCTTCGTCACGGAAGATTGCTTCCTCCGCTTCGATTCAAGCCCATGCGCCCTGACAGAATGTAATTATTAGCATTTGGTTCTGCAGTCCCCTCTGGTTCTGTGACCTTTGTTTTGACACCAAAGTTGAAGAGACAGATGAATGACACTGACATCAAGCACATCCATGTCTACAAACAACGTGAACATTACGTGCAAGCGTACTGGAATACTCACCTTTGCTTGCGGTTTTGAAGAGAAGCAAGAACATTGGGGCCTGCGTGGTCCTCTTTTGGTTGCAAGGGGGCCTTTTCGCCAGCCTTTGGGTAGGATTGTGTTCTTTTTTCGTGTTTCATAGATCAGTTCAGGCTATATTTTTACACTCCTGCTTGGGGAGGGGCGAAATGCGACATGGAATAATGTTTCAGCATGTCCCAGAAAATTGCGGAAAGAGTTCGTTCGAGTCGAGAGCACTGGAGCCGAGTCCGAACGCCTGGATGTCCAAGCCACGACATGGTGTTTCTGTGTCCCGTTTTAAAGGGGCTCAGTAGGCCACAAAAAGGGCGCAGGAGTGGTAAGTGCAAACATCACTTGGATCACTTTTCCCTCAAAAGAAACAGGTATTGTATGGTATTGTGCATTTTGTTGCTCAACCATTTAGAGAGCATCTCATTTGTGCTTGTTTGCAGTATATGCATAAACCACAATGCAAAAAATGAATTTGAACCTCTTGGTTTTCTCGAAATGGACTGACTCTTTCTTCAGCCTGTTGAGACCAGCTGTTGCCTTTAGCCGGTAGCATCCTGTAGCCATCTCTTGGGAGACAAAAAAGACATGACAGCAGCATCAAGAACATGAACATTGTACAGCAGAAGATGGGTGAAACGCCAAACATAAGTGGTTTGCCAAACATATTGGCATCCAAACAGCCCCCTCCGTGCTGTTTGGCACTTCGTCTCCCAATTGGTTCGGTCCCGGTGCTCCGCTGGGGGCCGATTGGGGCCCATGCAGCGCTCAGGTGGAACGCCTGAGCTGCTGCTGCGCGGCTGTCAGCCGCTGGTGGACTGTGTGGCGCCTATGGTGGACCTTTGTCAGTATGACGTGCTCCTCGGCGAGACCTGCGAGACCGTTGATGTTACTTTCAGCTAGGTGGACCATGTAATGATTGAAGATGACTATATAGTTCATTCATGTATATAGATGGTTGATTCAGGTGTGAAGATGACTACGCTCTCTGAAATAATCGTGGAAGTGGATGACATGCCCCCTTGGATGACCATTTTCCACTACAACCAGGTGGTTTTCCACGTCCGTGATTATTTCTGGGAGTGTAAGCCATGTAGACGTTTGATTCGCAAGACCCCCCGTCTCCAGAATGGGTTGACATCTCCATTACTTTGGGGGGGGTCGTATTAATGAACCGTCGGTCTACATTGTTGTGTAAGCGCAAAAGAAGTGAGAGGGAGGTGGGGTGGCCCTGACCCCAAAGCCACATGGATGGAAATCGGGAGTCCCAAAAATATCTGGGATGAGGAACATCCGTAAAGTGCAGCTCTGGTTAACTGCCTGGTACTGTAATCAGCAGGGTGGGAAAGGAGATCGCAATTGGGATGGAGATTCCACAGCCCTTTTCCTTGCAGGAAATTGTGTGTATTCTTTTCAAAACATTCTATTAAAAGCAGACCCTAACACTTTGAGATTTGATACAATAAAACTACATAAGTTATATAGACTCTTGATTAACAGCCCCCCCCATTTGGATTGTAGACCTCTTCGATTCATATGGGGTGTGTGAAATATAAGCAAGAGTCTACATGAGGCCATTAGGCAGTATCTTGACCAAACCCTTGTATGCAGGTGTTAATCTTGTTGATGTGGATAGGGACCTCTAAGCAGTTCACCAGCGGATCCTCCTTTGTCGGCAGATAAGAAGTGAGTGTTTGGATGCTACATATTGTAACCATCAAAGAAGCAGCTCCCACAACTTGCTAAGTAATTATCTGAGAATTCCTGAGCAAGACCCATCACCAAGCCAAGGTCCCTGCCACAAACTCAGCCTGCTGGTCAGGTCCGACTGTCAAGCAGTGAGTCGAGGGAACAGCTGCACCATCAGCTGTCGCTTGCCATACAGCGGCACGTGCCCTGGCCTCGCACAACGACTGCTGCTCCACCTGGGTTTTACTTGGGGAAGCATGGAGCTTCATCGACATCCATTTGTGAAAGTGATCATTCGATCATTCTGAATCAACAGTCCAATGGTCTTGGCTGCGTTTGCTTCTGCTTTGACCACTTTTTCCTCCTTTGAAGACTTCCTGTACCAAGTTTTTACGCCCCACCTCGTCCCACTATATGAATAAGACAAACACATGAGGTCTTCAATATCAACTTTGAGATTTCTCCCTCTATGACCATGGCGCACCGCCCCTGCGCACGTTCCATTCCCGCGCACCGCACGGGTCCTGCATTCGATCGGGGAGGTCCTTGACGGCCACCTGTCCACAGAACAACACCGACGCCTTGCAGGGCTTGCAGGTGACTCTACCGCCGCCCGGAGACGGGAGTGATGGGGCGCAAGGAACTTGGTTTGTCGTTTGTCTTATTCTTTACATTGTCTTTTTTTGGAAAAGGCCAATCCGTGAAACGAGAACTCCGGAACCATAAGGAGTTGGGCCATGTTTGTTTCCCTTTTACTTGGTGACTTCTACAACATGCATCACTAGTGGATGCAGGACAATGTAGGAACAAATCGCAGGCCGCCGGTATTTTGCTTTGCAAGATCCTAAGTTTTGGGACTCTTCGTCCATTTCTATGAAATGCAAGAGGAGTGTGTTTGTGTGTCAAAACCGTCCAGCGCTGAAGCAGGGATCCTTTCTGGGCTGAGGTCGATGGGAGTTCTGCAAGATATTTGGGATATAGCAGGAGCCAAAGGGGTGCCTACTGGAGGGTAGGAGTGCCCAATTGTCAACTCACTTGGGGACAAAAACCATCCCTTTGAAGCTCCTAGTATGTTTTCTTTGATTTTCTTTGTAAGGTCTCTTCCGGACACAACCCCAAGAAGCTGAAGTTCGCCGCTTTCGTGAATTGCAGGTCAATTGGTACGTTCAACGGAGACGCAGGTCGTTTGGATGTGACAGGTGATTCGATGAACAGTAAATGGTGGACATGTAGATGCGACAATCACATTGAGCCTTCCATAGCTCTTTGGCATCACCTAAGGAGCTGCAGTTTTCCCACCTGCCCAGATCCGCAGCAACTGCCGTTGGGCTATGTGAGACATGCGAATCTTGGACTGCAAATGACCAAAGACTGTCGCTGTATAGCAATATATCGCTGTCGTTGTTGTCATCTTCCAGGACTTCTCAAGAGAACGGACCACCCAAACTCACAGAAACGGCCGCAACGGCGAAACGGCCCGCCGCAGAGTTTGCTCGATGTTTGGGACCTGCTCTCGTTGCACCTGGGGGGGTACGGTGATTCCGGGCGATCGGATGGGGCGTCGAGTTTTTTTTGTTTTCCCCAACACATGGTGGAACGAGTTCGGAAGTCAAGGCGATGTGTAAATTCTTTGTGTTTGACAAACTCTAAATGACCTTGAAGCAGTGTTCCAGGATTCCTGAGTTGTTTTGAAAACATAGGCAGAATGATGGAACTGAAGAGGTGCAGCCTTTCCACCCGAAGGAAAGCGCGCCCTGGTGTCGGATGTTCTACAAGACCTGCAGATCAGCAGATCCCTCGAGTCTCAATCCCTGATGTTTCAACTCTGCGTTGTTTTGCAGAAGATCTGACAAGATGTGGAAACACTCTTGCAGAGATCCAATGCCCGACCATATCCACAGCCTTGTATATGCATTGGGTCTGCACGCTGAGGATTCAGCCTTGATTGCATTGTTGATCTTTTTGATCATTGAAGCCAATGGTTGCCCCCGCAGGGTTGCAACTGAATCCACTCGCAGGGGGTATCACTAAGGAATGGCAGCTATGGATGCGACCAGGACTACATAGGTCCGACTGAATCGATTGAGACGCATGGGACGCATGGGAAACATGGACAGCAGGAGCTCTAGAATTATCATGATACTTAGAAAACTTTTGGGAAAGTCTATCCTTAGTAGCGCCCTTGCTCCTAGTAGTACGGCCAGGAGCCCCTAGTAGCGTCCTTGCTCCTAGTAGCGATGCCAGGAGCCCCTAGTAGCGATGCCCTTGTTCCTAATTGATGAATCGGCCCTTGGCGGCGGTGTTTCTTGCAACTGCACCTCGTGGTTCGCCCAGCTGCATCAGTACCCCCTTTGTGCCTGGTAAGGAGGGTGAGGCAACAATCTCTCTACAAGATGTTGATGAAAGAAATAAGAAAGCAATCCAACATTCAAGACCATTCAACAGTCCAAGAGTAATCTCTGCGTAGCCTTGACAATATGTTTGAACAGCTTAGCAGGACCCCTCTGACCCGTAAAATGGCTATAGTGCTTGCTATACATGGCATGTTCGTCTCACGGTGGCACGCATGAAGCCCAACCACTGACGTCGCGCGCCAGGAACCGCCGTCCGCACCTGTAGTGCCTTCTCCGACCAGGCGCTGGGCAACGCGGCACAAGGCGGGGCGGGTCGGGTGGTTGCTGAAGTGAAGGACATAATATGTGTTGGAACAAACACGGGTCAAAGGCAACAAGGTGGTGTAAGTCGTATGTGTCATTTTCAGATTGTTTGATGTTGGTTCGGTTTCTTGATGCTTTATTGAAGATATTCAATCAATTTCAATCATATATGGTTTCCTTTTCAAGACACCTTCAAGCCCTTGACCCCCCTGTCAAAGAGTCAATGTTAACTTGGATTTGGTTCAGGCATGTTTCGACAACAACATCGATTCGGTCATCCATCCCCCTCCATCGAAGCCCCACGGGGCTTCGACTGGCACTGAGCAGGTCCCCAATGCTACACCGAAGCTGTCTTCTCTGGATGCAAGGTACGGGCCTTTGCTTGGCATTTCAAAGAAAACTGCAAGATTCTTGTCTGGTTCGATGCCAATCAAAGCTTGGAGCACCACGAGTTGTTGGTGACTTTGCACTGGGTAGAAGTGCACTGCCGCTTGTGCTATCAGCGAAATGAGCAGCTAACTGTACCTACCTTGCTTGGATATCTAAAAAGGCGTCATTCTGTACCGAGGTTGTCGCGGAGATCGTGCCCTGCCAGCCACCCGTGGTGGACAAATGTGTCCTTGATGCGCTTTTCTTTCCACCCCAGACCATCCATGCATCATTACGTGTAAATCCTCTTTGGAAGGACACACCTGACATCACCCTACCCATGAAATCAATTTATGATCCAGTTGAAGTCCACAATCAACTACTCACTGCAGAGCACAGTACAAGCCTTCAATACCCTTCAATACCCTTCACCCCTTCAGCTCTTGAGGTCTTCACAACGCCTCCAGCTGCATGGGACCGGCCCTGCAGCCGGGCGGCGCCTGCGAGATCGGCTGCCTGTCGCCCTTCTACCGAGGCGAGGCCCGAGCCTCGCGTGGCGGGACGGAGGTGAACGCGGAGGGCTTGGGATGGAGATGGCAGGCCTCGTCCAAAAGTGTGGTCCAGACATGTCCAGACAAAGAATTGGGGATTTGATTTTTGTTTTGTATGTATGTATTTAATTGAACTCCAAACAGAGCCGTTTGTTGAGTGCTGTACATGATGCACAGGAACTCATGGTTTTCCTTGCTTCACCTAACTGGTTTACTTCAGGCCAAGCGACGGTCGCAACTTGTCCATTGGACAACATCAACACCACTGGAGGACTGGGAAAAGCGGATTCCGCAACGTGGCGCAAGATGAGAGCGTGAGAGCGGCAAGTGTCAGCTGTGGGGGTCAAAGTGGAGGTTTTGGAAGTCGATAGTGGGCACCTCCACCTTCTCACAGGCACCCCGACATGAAATTCCTCGTACAGTACCTTCCATAGAAAAAGGCCTTTTGTCAGCGGATGCAGGTTGAGGGATCCAGGAAGATAAAGGATGCAAAGCGGTCTTGTAAGATTCTTGTATGTCGCTGGTAGGTAAGTCCAAGACTACTTTGGATGGCTCAGTGACTCCTGGTTCTCTCTTCGCCGGGCAAGCCCACTCTGCACTGATGGCAGGATTTGAGTGGATGGCGCCTCAATGCAGCCGCAGAGCCAAAGTACGAGAGGGGCACGGACCGGTGGTTGTCATGTTATTGCAGTAGTTATTTAAAGGGTGTGGGTTTTTAAAAGGATGTTGGTATTACTGTAGTTATATCAGATGTTATCATTTGGATGTGTTCTTGTGAGCAGGTATGAAGCCGCTTTGCCCGTGCGAGTAGATGGGCTAGCTACACAGAATCTCAACTTTTCAGGTATAGTGACAAATGTCAGCTCATGGCTGGCAGTTGAGATCCCCAGCTCTTTGGATCTTCTACATGGTTCATCATGATTCATCGGTCTACAAAACCCCTCCAATCACGACTCAAACCTCCAAGACCCTTGGTGCATCACGGTGCCTTCTCCACTCCGAAACCGCAGCCTTCTCGAGGTGTGTGGTGCCCGGAGCCGACCTTGGAGGAAGAGCCTGCCTATGGGCGCAACCCCGAAGGCCTCCCGACTGAGCGAAGTCGTGTACTGCGTCGAAACGGAGCTGTTTCAAGGGTTCTGACTTTGGACGCGAAGTCGAAGGTTTTTGGAGATGGATGAGGCTTGATTCATGCGGCGATGTTTGGGGGAGATTCAGATGCACCATGTTGTACCGAAACTCTCTGGAGGGATGAGGAGGATCGAAGATTAAGAGAATTCCCATGTTTTGTTGGCTGTGAAACAGAGTCTTGTTCCAAAACCATCCAAAACCTGTACTTCCACTTAGGTGGCAGCAGCCAAGACAGCAGCGGGTGGATCTGCAACCCCGGCTATGCTGGCATAGCACAGGCCTGCTTAAAGGGATTTGAAAGGTGTGTTGGAAAGGTGAACCGTTTACAGTTGTTCCAATAACCTTCGACGTTCTCCAAGCCTTTGGATGAGAAGCTTCATTCAAGCACCTATGTCACCGCCGTGCGGAGGGTTTGGACACTTTCGCATGCTTTTTCTCTGACGATCCAGTCATGGCTTAAAACTCCGTGAAGACGCAGTTGGCGAGTCTTCAGTCCGTTCGAGGGACGATGTACTCAGTTCATGAGCGATTTGATGGACTAGGTGGGAACATGTCCAAGGTATTTCAACCATCACCATCCGCCAGGTGTATTGCCAACTCCTTCCGCCCGTGCACGCCTGGGCCCTGGCCGATGGGGTCTTCAGATCCAAGATGGATCCTGGAAGTGTCACTCTTCCGGCTTTCGACCGGAAACCCTCAGCTTGCCAGACTTGCTTGACAACATATCTACATCTAAGTAGACCATCTTGTGGATGAAAGATGAAAGGTAGGCACTTGGTGACCATTTTGATGTTGATCTCTTGCACCTACCGAAAGACCGCTCCGGACGTCCCGCGCATCACCGTCTGAGGGCGCTCGCTGTGGAGTGGCGAGGCGGTCCGTGGTGCGTGGAGTGTTCGGCCGTGTCGTTCGTAGCTCCGTGCTGAGGTGATAGAGGATATAAGAAGGGACGGGTGCCGATGTAAAGAAGAAAAGTCAATTGGGATCATTCGTTCTGGGTGTCCAATGGAGGTAGTGTAGGGTAGGTCCGGTAGTTTATCGCTTTTTGACATTTTGTCAGGGCTTGTTGTGTTGGAAGAACCGGAGAACTCCCCCTTAGGCCCAACTGGTGGAAACCTTGGTTTTCGTCAAGGGCAAAACTGTCAGGTTTGCGTTTTTGAATACACCCAAATGTCCAGAAGATGTCAGGGTGCTCTTTCAGAATTTTAGATGGTGAAAGAAGAGTCGCTTCTTTGTGCAAACCAGTGCAAACCTGATTGATGACTCTAAGATCAGCGAGATATGCGCTTGCCGGAGAGTTGCTTTAATCGGTTTGATTTCTTTGATACTTGCAGAAGCTCAGTGAGCACAGGTCCAGGGGTACTCTTTTTGGTTCGCTGCGAAAGGACTCAAAGGATTCATTCTTATTGTTCGCCCCTGGGATCCGCTCTTCTGGACCTCCAAGCATGTGGGTCAAATAGCCTCCAAGCAGGGGAGGCTAATTAGTTGCATGGGAGCAAGCTCATGCACTTAGAAGGAATGCCAACTACTGAACGAGTTCCTTGAACCATGTCCAAAAGGTTGTGTTGGAATAGGAAAGACCCTCCAACCAATGGGCCAATGGGCTGATTGAGGTTGATTTTTATGGTAGGGTTCCTGCAGGATGTTTAGAAGGAGGAACCCCTTGTGTTTGACCAGATCCTGAACTCCGGCGAGGCTCCAGATGTCGGGCTGCAGTCGACTAGAGCCTTGCGTGCCACTGGTGGCCTCCAGCTTGAGCTTTCAGGACTGAAGAATGAAGATGAATGAAGTGCACAAGCATGTTCCACGACTTGTTGATTCTCCAAAGACTTCTGATGATGCGAGTGTAGGCCTGGAATGGCCACAATATGTTTGGCTTGACCAGTGAACGAGGGTCTCAGCTCCGATTCCTGCCTTCTCTGTTTCTGCTACTGCTCCTGATGATGTCCCACTTTTCCTGGCACTGCTGCTCCCCGCTCGTTGCAATTCCTGCTGGTCCATCCTCCCAATGCTGTTCATTCAACTTCACTCATTTTTCTCCTGCCTAGGCCTTTCACTCTCTTCAGGCCTTTCGTTCTTTGAGACCGTTTTCGGCAGGTGCGCTTGCCGGCGCCTCCGCCGGCGCGCGGCACGCACGTGCTGCGCGACGGGGAAGGATTCGAGCTGGAGGCCTCCACGGACCGATGAGTGTGAGGGAGGACTCGTCCAAAAAACGGCCATCAACAGTTCGACCCCGAAGACGGACAAAGCGAACAAACGAATAAGCAAAAAAGAGAAATAGCATTTGCATCCGGCCTCCGGCACATCCTGCCCCAGGCATTCACGTGTTGAATCATGTATCTAAGAATGGTTGAGCTGCTTGCGTGTTGCTGCGGTCAAGGAAGTCTTCTGTCATCTTCCTTGGCAGATTTCAGTGTACGCAGCGCGCATGTCTTGTTCCATGCTTGAGTGTTGAGGGATTTTCCTGCACGTCGGAGGTGTCTAAACAAAAGAGCGTCATTGAAACCTTGAGCCACCACATCGCAAGTAAAGGATTGTATTTCGAAATCAGGATAGCAAAAGCATGGGCTAAAGTGTAGTAGAAAGGACTCCAAACCAACAGTCGATGCAGAATATAACCTACAAACGGCTACGGCGACGACTATCTTGACCGCAGCTACTTGTACTGTAGGTTGAGTGGCGTCTTGATCCTGAACATGATTAGTGTCTTACATAGAGTGTAACAAGGCCTGGCCTGATTATGTTTGAATATAATATTTGATAAGATTCCAATTTGTCGCGTGAGGGATTGTGGAATTGTGGAACTTTTGGATGTCTAGTGTATTATGTTCATTTTATGTTCATTTCATTTGGGATCGACGGGGAACGACGTTCACCGAAGCCCTATACTCCAGTTGCGACTTCTTCACTAAAACCCTTCCGGCACCGTGACGTCTTCCGGGGTCGTTGCGTTTCGGGTCTTCCTTCAGTCCTACCGGTCGCACCGGGCCCTTCGATCGGATCCACCAGGTGCACTGCGGCCTCTTGGGCCCCGGCGAGGCGTGCCTGCTGGGCTGCCGAGCGCCCTTCGTGGGGGAGCTGGTGACGGCCAGCTGCCCCGTGGGGAACACCAACCGCTTTCAGGCGGGAGTGGCACCGGGAGAACGGTTGGAGGAAGACCGGGGGGGGGGAGAACAGTTGGAGGAAGACAGGGATGGAAGACATAGGGATGGACATTGGGGGGTGGTCTCTGAATCAAGGAGTTGGCCAGGAGTTGGTCTCTGGTACAACAGTAAGCAGGGGGAGGTCATTGAGAATTAGCCAGTCGCTGGGCGATCCCCCACGTGGAAGAACACGTCAAAGAGACCTAAGTGAGGAGTTTCACTCAATGGTGGTGGTTCTCGTGAGTGTGAATGCAAACTGATTGCACAACAAGGAACGTGGTTTGGCCAATACATCCACATCTGAACCCGATGATCCCCCAGAAGTGCCATCTCCGTCCTGATTCATGCAGAACCCATCACACCATACGGTTCTCCATACCAGATCAAACCAGTGAGCTCCAGCCACTCGGCCAGTCTGCTTGTGCTTGTGAAGGGTACTCTGACAACCACATCGATGGCGGTGTCCATCCCAACCGGGCTCCTCGGCGGTTTCCTCCGCGACGGATCGAGGCGCCGGTGCTGAACCGCGCGCCATTCTGTGAGCTGCGCTGCCCGGATCCAGAGGAGGCGCCGTGGGGCTATCGCACACGAGGGCCCAATCAATGGGAGTGCACGCCCGACTACACCGGTGACTCGGACGGGAAGGAGAAGGAGGGGTGACCGGAGGAGAGGGTGTTGGAGTCCGCTGAGGTCGCTGGGCTGATTCCAATATGGTGTTTGGGTGTTGATTGATCAACGATTCACAAATTGAGATGAACTGGACATTTGTTTGCCCCCAAGCCTGTGAAAGGTGTTTGGAAGATAGATGAAGCTAGGCCGCTAGGCCCTTCCACTAAAATAGAGTTTTTGGCTGACACCAAAGTAAAGTGTCTGGGTTCATCGAAACTCAGAAGAACATGAACATAGCGAGCATTTTGGAGGAGGGGTGGAAGGGAGAGAAGGACTCGGAGCCGCTCATCTATGACGTTCACTTCTCGTGAAGCTATTGGCAGTACGGGCCACTTCGGTTTTATCCTGGCAATCACTACCTCCCAGGGAGACCTTTGACCAGCAGTACATTAGCCAATTCGCCCACTGCATCAAACTGTACACTTGCGGCACTTGCGTGTTCTCGAACACTCACGTTGGCCGTGCCGGAGTTGGTGAAACTGGCTTTGCATGGTTTTGCATAGTAGGTGGACTTGTAGTGGCTGTTTTCCTGTCCTGATAGTGTGCATAGGCGAGAGCTCAACCAGGACAGGCCATCCCAACCAAGCAAGACGACAACAAGGTTTGTCTTTGTGTGCACACTACTTTTTTGTTGGTTAGTTAAACGAGCACCTGGAGGACAAAAGTCACAGAAGCAGAACTGGTGTACATCTCAAAGTTCCAATGTCCGTATATTCCCCTATTCATTCAACACACTTGCCCCATTATTTGCAGCGCATTTTCCTATGCTCAACCCAACCTGAGAACAAACACTTTCAACCAATAGACCACACATTCAACCAATCAATTAATTAATCAACCACACATCCATAGGCTATAGAAATCCATAGAACATCTCTACTTCGCTCTGAGGGAACATGCTTTCCAACGCCCCAACTGCCAGCCCTAGGTGAGCCCTTGAAGTACTGCAACGCCTCGGCCGCCTGTAACGCCTCCGCGCTGGCCGACTCAGTGGCGATCGCGGAGACAAGCAGCCCAGAGGGAGACTGCGAGAACGCGGTGGAACTGGAGATCTCCTTCACGGGCTGCACCAAGCGTCAGCCCTGTCTTGGACCAGACCTGAGCCTTGGGCTGAGGGCCACTAACTTGGGCGGGTGGCCGGGCTCCGGGGCGGATTCGGAATTTTTCGAGAAACTTGCGTTGATGAAATGGCATTTATATACTTGCAGCATGTGATGTGAGTGGTATACCCATGGCAATCGGCCTTGGCACCTGAGACTAGAGTTCAACCAGCTCCATCCCCCACCAATCTTCGAGAGGTGGTTGAAAAGCAGAATGTTGAGCCTCAAATAGTAGACTCTACTTAGAGTGGCACCTGTCTCACCTTCGCTTCTGCTTGCCTGTTGTCCTCCGCAAGATACCGCCACGACTCTACTTTGTGCGCAGACCTTTTAAAGGGAGACGGTCCGGGATCGCCGGACTCTGCCGCAGCTGTCGCCATGCACTTAGGAGCAGCTGTCAAGTGGAGAGTTTCAATTGCCAAGCGCTTTTGGCACCGGGAAGTGAATGTGAGGCCTGGGATTGGGATTCAGCCCGCTTCTACTTAATCAATTAGGCGCCTACTTAGGTATGTAAGGGAGTAAGATACTAGCTACTTGAGCTACTACATATGGACGCAGGATAGCTCATGCTTCTTCAAGGAAGCTCCCCCCACCTGAGGGTGGGGGGAGCTTTCGCACTAATGATTGATTCCTAGATTTTTAGGGGAAACTAGCAGGCTTGCTTTGTTGAGATCGTGGTAACCTAGCCGGACGTAATAAGAAGATGCACCAAACATTGTGCTAACTCGCTTTTGTTTACACTTGGTTTGTGTCACCTGGTTGAATTGTATGTCACATACGTAGTCGTTCGTACATGTTACATGTTCATTTATTGTTTATTTCTTGCGACAAGATCATCGGATAGGGAAATTCAGGGCAAGCCAGATTTGATTCTGAAATGAAGACTTATTGCACGTGCAGCCACTGTGGTTCACCCCTGTTGGATTCTGTTTGCTTCGTTCTTTTGGCAGTAGACATAAGTCAAGAGTCTTGAATTCTTTTTCCAGAGTACTTCGTCAATTATCATCAATTATCAGGTCCTAACGGAGGATGTGAGATTGAGATGGAGTCTTTTCTTCAGCCAGTCTTCCAGGGAATGCCACCTGGTAGGACGCGATGTCGCCGCAAAAAACGCACCGCGCCGAACACACGGCGTCGTGTTCTGCGCGTCGTGTTCCGCCGCGTGGTCCTCCAGGTGCGCTGCCGCTTTCCCTTTCAGGGTTCGCCCAGCATCGCCCGGTGCCCCGCGGACAATATTCTCTTGGAGGGTGCAGGCGAGGCCGTGAGAACCGACAGCGAGTTTCACGCAGAATAAGCGTGGTTGACTGGAGGAGTTGCTAGTCAGATGGGGCCAGGTATGATGCGGTGCGTTGATTTAGTATGATTATGTATGATTTAGATTGATTTAGTCTATTTTACATGTTGAATTGAACAAATTCCATACAAAATCCATATTCTTGGTCATGTCTCCGGAAACAACGCCCGAAAAATCATCACATTGTCTCTCGTTCTGCCGCACTGCTGGTCACGTGAAAACCACGGTAACTGGAGCCTTCAAGCTTCAGCTCCTAAGGTCCTAGGTAACGTCGCAGATTGCAGATCCCGCTTTCCAGGCCTGGTCTTTACAATGCCAGACTGCCAGCTGCCGGAGTGTTACGATCCAGTGCCTTCAGGTGAGGATTGTAGCTCACCGGGGTTTGGGTGAGGAAAGATGTCTGGGACTGGAGATTTTAATGGGTTTATACCTCGCGGCAGCGGGAGAAGAGTGCTTGGAAATGCCACCCGAGAGCCCAAAAGACCAGCTTTTGCCGTTACAACTGATCTGATTTGGTGGCCAGGCTCCACCCTAAGGCCCTAAGGACTGCGACCCAGCTTTATGAGGTCAGAACTTGGTGCCTGTGGTGTTTGTTTGAAGAGCCAGTCATGCTTTTGAAGGCCTGAACATATGCAAGTGTTCAAACAGTTCAAGAGGCTTCTGGAGATGGCCCTAGTGTTCAAGCCAGGTACAGAACCTGTGCAAAAGGCCGCAGGTACTGAGTTAGTTAGAGGATGTCAGAGGTTGAGGTTTCCATATGTTCTCTTCTGGCCACTCACACCTTGATCCTTTAGCCAATTGAAGTCTCTTGGGGTGCATCGCTCCTTGCGGAGGTTACCAGTACAGCTTGGACGGCTGGACTTGCGCAGAAGGCTTGGAGAAAGGGCGGAGATGGGGGATGCATGGATCCACAACCTGAGGGAACAAGAAGCTACTAGTAACAAAGGGCATCGCTACTAGGAGCAAGAAGCTACTAGTAGCTCCTGGCCTCAGTAACAAGAGGACGCTACTAGTAGCTAGAAGCACAGGCCATTAGGTTCATAAATAAGCCAACTTACTAGTGGTTGGCGGTTGGTTGATTAATAGAGGGGATACCCCCCAGTGAACAACCAAGGCTGGTAAAGGGTACCTAGCACCGACCCGTCTGAGGTTTGGATTTGAAGGGGGTGCGGTTTGCTATATAGTTCCCCACTTCCCAATGTTTATTTGTTGCCTGCGGCTTCCGACATGGATGTTAGGCGTGCTTTCCCTGATGGTGGGTTGCGTGTTCATGTCGCCATGCCCGGAACACAGCGGAATACAGCAGAGTTAGCATACTGCTAAGACACAAAAGGAGATGCGGCATGTTTGTTGGTAGACACTGGAGGCAGTGGAACCCTGTCACATGTAGAACCCGTTCTCCTTGTCAGGGAGTGCTATCACCACTTTTCGAAGCGGCGTTTGAGGTCAAGCGTGAGTCAAATAAGCCGGGGAGAGTGACATTCCACCGGCCAAATAGAAAGAACCTGGACCACCCAACGGGTCACCAATAGACTACCCTACACTACTCACAGACCTCCATTGGACACCCAAAACGGATGATCCGGGTAAACTCATTCAGGCATTTGGAGATGCATAGAGATCATAGAGTAAAGGACGCATGAGACAAGCTTGGGGAGTTCAGGCTTCCAAAGATGAGAATCCCTTGGTATCAATGTTCCAAATTGCGTTACAACTGATGTCCCAAAGATCAGTACGTCTCCCAGGTCCGTTCCGTACGTCTCCGGGATGGTTTTGCTTCCCAAACGGACCGTCCAAAACGGACCGTCGTGTGACCGCAGGCTTCCATGGTTTGGCTCAGCGCTCCTGTAGTGCGCCATTTCGGTAGAGCTTGGGGACTCATGGGCTGAACTTGTTTGAAGCCAGCAGGCATAGCCGTCGGAGGGCGTGAAAGGCAAAAGCAGCGGCTGTTTTTTGTACTCATACTCTTTAATGAGATCTTTTATTGTATAGTTGATTGGGTGGTCTCAATCCATACCCCTTTCATCCCCTTTCCATGTTTCCTCGAAGCTTCAGAGGGACGCTGCTGCGGCCCATCTATTTGCGAGCGCAAAACACGGTCAGCGGAGATCGCGTTCCCCGTTCCAGGTACGGACAGCAACTGCGAAGCGGAGATCGCGTTGACAGGCCGGGTCCGGGGGGTTCGATTCGGGGCCCCGTGAAAACAAGATGCCTTTCAATGACATGGTGACGTCGCTCCAGAAAGAGATGCTGCACCAAGTGAGTCCCCTCAAACAATCCCACTAAGAGCTAAATACGAACTAAAAAGATCTCTGTGACATGTGAGTCACGTGTTTTCCACATGTTCAACTTCATGTCCGTTCCAGTCTGCCGTTCCAGCAGCAGGATGCGAACAATTGCAACCCTGTCGAAGTCCACCGATGGATCGCTGCCGCTACGTCACGTGGACTCACTAAAGCGGAGCGGAAGAGAGCTCCGGGAGGGGCCCAAAGAGCTCCGCAGCGGAAGAGATATTCGGAAGAACGGGAAGCACCAGACCATCTGTCATGCGTTTGGTGGAGAGGTTTGCAGGCATCCGCACCCTAGACCTGATGCGAACTTGAAGGGATATACCCCCAAAAGCGAACTCATATCCATCCTCCAAAGCACGAGAGTCGAGTCAGGAGGATCGTTTTCCAGGCAGCCGCGAGTGGGTTGCTCCATTGGAGGACTCGGGTCTCCCCAAACAGACTCCAGCTTTGCCAAGCCAAGTCCGTCATGGACCGAAAGGCCCTATAGCTTAGTTTGGGATGAATTGGATGTGTCCTTTCGTGCCGTGCTTGATGACCACAAAGCCAATGACAATGAAAGGGTAACCATCAAGAAGCCTGCTCATTCTAAGAGCTTTGACAGGCGTTGTTTGTTTCATGACCCAAACACTGGCTGCTGAGGATTTCAGTGATTGTCGCTCCACTGTGGATGGCATGACCTGCGACTGGGATCTTGAAATGTTGGGAATTTGGGATGTCTTTTTGAATGAAAGGGCTATTTGAATGAAAGGGCTACAGTTCAATGTAGACTCTACTTTGATTTGTTTGAAGCACCCAGCGCGTGCATTCATTGGCTTGAGAATTTGTTCTGTTCTAACTTGGTGTTTGCTATCCATCCACGTGAACGATATCGGCCGTCGTCCTTCCAATTCGACCGGTTCGAACGACACCGACAGGTGAAGTGCGATGCCAGTCGCCCTTTTACGCCTCCTTGAAGGCGGCCACAGGGCGGTCGGAGATATGCGCCGTGTGGAGTGTGGAGTCGGGGGAGGTGGATTACGGTGAAGCACCCTCCAATTTGGGTCCGGAACGTTCGGGAGACGAAGTCATTTTGTGACTCCTTGCATCACATCACATCTCCCATTCGCAGTGCAGCTCTTGCCACTTCTGGGAGAAGGAGTTCTTCGGATCATTTGCCCTGAATCCGCAGAAGAAAGCGAAGCGCTGCGCCGAACCGAGCCGTCCGTCTTGCCACAGTCTCAGGTGGGTTCGGCCCGGTGTGCTGCGGGCAACATCGATCCCGAAGAACTGTTGGAGGTCATCGAACTGCCGTGGTGTTCCTTGATGCTTCAAAAAGACGTTGGCGTTGGAGTTGGAAACAGAAGTCTAGGTATACAGCACACACAGTAGCACACAACTCACATCGAAGTACAAAGATTGATCTCTCACTCTCAGATTCTCCAAAAGCTAGGCTAAGGGAAGACCTCAGATTAGCGCCCACCTCGAAGAGATCGTAGCCAGATTTGTGGTTCAGTCATTGGAAGTCAGGTGGTTTATTTGAATTTGGTTCAATCGGATGGACCTCTATACAGAAGGGCGCATGTGGTTGATTGGTTTGCAGTTCCTTTTTCATGCGGCTTGTATGATTACGTGGATTACATGTCTTTTTTGTTGGAGAATGAGCTTGCCACTTGTCAATGGATGCCATTTTTCTTTGACGATTCCTAAATGAGGGAAGTCTTGGTCTCTGTAGGCATGCTGTAGGCAATGGCAGATGCTCCAGTTGCAATATATAGCCCAGTCGTGCCAACAGCCAACAGCCTTGCACAAGAGGGCTCCCACGCATCTGTGCCCAAGACCAACACTGCCATGTTCAAACATGGCAGCAGTCTACAGTTGGGGATGTAGGAACACACTAAATCCAAGAACATATGGGAACTGACTAAGACACCAAGTCGTTCTCCTGAAGAACACCAAGTCGCAAGGTTTTTGGTTGTTCAAGCTAAAGATGTTATACATTCAGTGAGCATGTGGTCCGAAAGCTCGCGAAAGCCTTCGCAAGCACCCGACACTGCTGCGACATCCAGGTCCCGATTTTGAACATGTTTGAACCACCGGCTCATATCAGCCCCACGGTGATCTGAGGTGAACCTGTTTGTGACCAAGCTGCACCTCCTGGATACGTTCCTCTACCACCACCCGCAAAAGGCGAATCCCACCTGTTGAACATGCGTCGAAAGACATCGAGCGGAAACATCAGCTTGTTTGGCAGGCTGGCAGTGTGCCAACGGCTACCGAGGAACTCCCAATGCAGTGGCTTCGCTGCAGATCCACAAGTTGTTGGTTAGCAGATCATAACAAATCATAACACATCATAACAAATTTCATAGCAGATCCAGCATACATGCAAGTGATAGAGGCTTACGAGGTCTGCTCTGAGAGGCTATTGTCCGCACGACTTTCTCGGGGAACTGCTGACCTGAGAAAGTGTGGTCACCATGAAACGATCGTTCGTTGCAAACTCAGGATTAGACTACAAGCTTGGAAAATGGATGATCGGTCTCATAAAGGTTGTGAACTTCTAATGGGGTGTTTCATGGTGTTTCTATGCCGGACCAACAAAAGTCCAATCTTCACCTTTGATGCTTTGATGCTTTGGCACTTGGGCTGCTGAGGGAACGTGACTGTAATTGCGTAGCATTCAAGATCTCAGGGCATGGGACACTTCTTGATGCTCATCATTTTGGCCGTGTCCAAGCAAGACTGGACCTGAATTAGGCAAATCATGGACAATCCTATGGAAACTTTTGGATCTCAAGATGTTTGTCTTTAACCTTCACCCTGAAGCACATGTGGGTGTTCAAAACCCCAGTCCACTCCTTAATTAAGACCAGTCCACTCCTCAAGACCATGACAGATCTGCTGAGGTTTGTCAGATCTTCGAGGTCAATGACAGCTGCCATTCCGAGAGCCTCTTTGAGGGATGCCTCCAGCTACAGCCCTGTGCAGCTCCGAGGGAACTGTCTGGCTGTATGTACGAGCTGAGAGGACCGGTGACAGAATTCACCATGTTACATACATGTTGCCACGTACGTGCTCATCTTGGTGCTCCGAACTCGGAGCGTCAAGAAGGTCAAACCAGGGCAAGATGGTCAAGTGACTCTTCTGGTAAGGTTTTCGTTTGTATCTCATTATCCAACTCAGTATCCAACTCACAGCAGGTCTTATTGGAACAGCTGGGAACAGCTGCTTCTTGTGCCGTTCATAGCCGGCTATCGCGACTCTTCTCACGGTGTGATTCTTGGATCCAGAGACGTCATCTTTTTCTGCGTGAGGATGTCGTGCCATCGAGGCTGGCTCCAGCTGTGAAGTTGTTCCTTGGAAAGAAACATGGTTGACTCCTCTTTCTGACACGGAGTTCAACTCCATTCTCCATTCTTAATATACTGTAGGTTGTTTAAAACGTCTAAATTCTAGGAATTCCAGGACGCCGACTGGAGAGTTCTTTTTCCACAGACATCTTGGGCCGATCTTGGGACGGATGTTTTGGGCGCCCATTCTTCTAACAGTTTTGCGCATCGGTGCCTTTTGGCCATACTTGGGAGTTTTTGGCCATACTTGGTGACTTTGTAAGCCTCTTTCTATCAAGCATGCCTCCCCCAAAAAACATTACAGACACCTGTTGAGTTCCTGAAAAGTAGGACTCTAAGGGGGAGCCCCAAAGTCGGGCAACCCCCAAAGATGAGAACTGCTGTAGCCTGATAGTCTGATAGGCGCTTCCATACCAAAAAATGTCTAGGTTATGCTAGGACAATAATGGACAATATATCGTATATAGATGTAAAATGATGTAAATAGTATACTATACGATCCTTTTATTAACCCAGAAAAAGCAGTTAGAAAAGAATCCAAGTCGAAAGATCGCCCTTTTCCCTTAACAAAACCCATTGTCAATATGATTATTCAGGATTGTTCGATTGTAATAGATTATCACAATTCCCGGACAATTCCCATCAGAACAACACACATGATGCCGAAAGGGTGTAATCAAAATAGCAGCCAAGCCAAACGACGGTCGCAAACACGGACAAGTTTGCCTTTGACAACTTTACAAACCATCCTTAAATCATATCCATTGAAACAAACTCCAAATTGAAGAGGCTTCCCTTTTTGTTGACAAGCCCCACCCAAAACGAGGTGGGAATTGGCACCGGTGCTAGGCTTCAGCGGACTATCTGAGAAACAAAACCTATCCAATAAATACTCAGTCGTTGCAGTATTAGCATTGACAAATGACAGAGGAAAACAGACAACAACCAAATCCCAAACAAAACTGCGTTAAGATTTGTGGGGAGTCCGCACTGGTGTCTTTCCATTACAGGAGGTGTTTAAATAGGTACCTAAGGGCTATAAAGCTGAACCCAAAAGAGCTGACAAAGTTTGGACCTCCAGTGGCTTAAGAGGGGCCTAAACCTGCCACAAACTCATTCAGTTGATCTCTTCTTGCCTCAGCTGAGGCCTGCAAGCATCCGTATCGCGGAAGTACGGCACTGGCCTCCTGTCCCTGGAACAACACGGATCCCCTCCATCCAGCAGAAGTGGCCTTGCCTGAGTGTGTTGTGGAGGCTCCCTGCCCAGATCCTGAGGGTGGGACTCCACCAGCATACAGAAACTCGGACCAGAAGAATGGAAGTTGGCATGTGAAGGAACTTTCAAAAGGTAAATGCTGAGGGTCCCTACTATGCTTTTTTTGGTGTACGGATGTCAAACTGTGCGTTTGGTGTGTACAAATGTTGGTGGTTTCGCTCGCAAGCTGATATTTCCGACCTTTGTGTCAAAAAAAACTCAGTAAGCTTATCAAACTCGGTACCATATGCTTGCACCAGGGGAGTTGCCTCTATATCTCGTTGTCAGATAATTTGCCAGAGTATCTGAGACTTGAGATCAGATCCGCCAAATGACTCATCAAGCTGTCTACCACAGGAAGCTTGAAATGAAGTGCATACATGAGAACAGTCTAACAAGGGTCTGTCTTGATTGTCTTGATACAGTATTGTCCCAGGGTGCCCACTAGACTCGACGGATCTCGACGGACCTTGAAGAACCGTGCCCGGCGCTGCCTAAGAGCGATGGCCTCCAAGCTACTATTAAAAGGGTCAACAACACTTAGCAAACACGTTCAAAACCATCACAACTGCTGGTTGTTCCCAAGGATTCACTGGGGATCAGCTGGCCTGCGCGGATGGATACCACGGTGATGCCCTGCAGCGCTGCGTCGCACAGCTCTTGCCCGGCAGCAACGACACCTGCGTCGCCGTGGGTGATTTCACCGGCTGCGCTCCGATCTCCCCCTGTCGAGCGCCCGACATCGCAGCCACCGATTGTGAACTCACGCAGCTGAGCCTTGTTTTTTTGGGGGGCAGATGGCAAGAGGTGAGCCATGGAGAGGGAAGAACGCTGGCGGATTTTTGCAGCACAATTGGGGTTGAGTAAGAAGATGTTCCTGATTCTTGGGACACTTGATCACTATTACCATTACCAATCTGGAGCCCTCCTCTTCAAGTTACCAGCTTTCGCAACAGTGGAAATGTCCTACGCCGGACGTCGTGTCGTTCGCCGGAACTCCGCTGACCCAGGCACAATTGCCCAGAGCTCATGCCGGCAGGCTCAAGCTGTGAGATCACCTGTAAGCGACCCTTGGTGGGGACCAGCTCATTGGCGCGCTGCCACCTGGCCTGTTGAAGGGCTGGGAATGAAAACAAGAGCTCGAGTGACAGGACAAA